GTAGATTTTTTACTACAAAAATTCATTACTTTTCCAAATTTTTTTAGGAAAAAATTGCAAAAATCCTAGAGATTTCAAAGCAGTAGCTCAAATTGAATTGTGGATTTTCTGAATCTGAATCTTTCAAAAAAATTGCTACAAATATTCTCGTTGACCAATAGTCACGTGATCTAATTTTGTAGACAAAAAATATGGTTTGTTAATTGGCTTTTTTGGAAGAAAATAAAAAACATTACAGAATTTCTAAAAATATTGTGTAATTTTTGTGTCAATAAAAAAGAAGGGACTTCAAACCAATAGCACAAAAATAATGTTGTAGATTTTTTATTCCAAATTCCGCTACAGATATTCTCGTTGGTCAATAGTATCACTGACTGTAGTCACGTGAACTAATTTTCTGGTCAATAAGGTTTACAAATCGGTTTTTTAGGGATAAAACAGTGCAAGTTGCAAGAATTGTAGAGATTTTAAAGCAGTAGCTTAACTTGTGTTGTGGATTTTTTAGATCTGCTATTTTTTCAAATTAAAATCAAAAATTTCGCCACATATCCTCGTTGACCCATAGTATCAATATCTATAGTCACATGATCTAATTTTCTAGCCAATAAGGTTTGTCGAGACTTGGACGAAAATCTCAGGTCAATAAAAAGGAAAGGGTTTTAAAGTAACAACACAAAAATAGTGTTGTAGATTTTTTACTACAAAAATTCATTACTTTTCCAAATCAACATTAAAAATCTTTTGCAGATATCTCGTTGACCAACAGCTGTTGTCACGCGATCAAATTTTTTGGCAATGAGTTTTTTTTTTAGGAAAAAATTGCGAAAATCCTTGAGATTCAAAGCAGCAAGCTCAAATTGTATTGTGGATTTCCTGAATCTGCTATCTGAATCTGAATCTTCCAAATTAAAATAAAAAAAATGCCACAAATATTCTCGTCGACCAATAGTCACGTGATCTAATTTTGTAGACAAAAAATATGGTTTGTTAATTGGCTTTTTTGGAAGAAAATAAACCAAATTACTGAATTTCTAAAAATATTGTGTAATTTTTATGTCAATAAAAAAGAAGGGTTTTCAAATCAATAGCACAAAAATAATGTTGTAGATTTTTTTATTACAAAATTCTGCTACAGATATTCTCGTTGGCCAATAGCATCACTAACTATAGTCACGTGAACTAATTTTCTGGTCATTTAGGGAAAAAACGGTCCAAGTTGCAAGAATTGTAGAGATTTCAAAGCAGTAGCTCAAATTGTGTAGTGGATTTTTCGAATTTTTTTTCAAATATTTTCGTTGACCAATAGCATCAACAGCTATTGTCACATGATCTAATTTTCTAGCCAATTAGGTTTGCGAATTGGTTTTTAAGCAGAAAACAATAATTCAAGTTGCAAGAATTGCAAATTTCAAAGCACAGCGCGAAATTGTATTGTGGATTTTTTGAATCCACTTTTTTTCTTGAAACCGGAATAAAAAATCTCGCCATATTTAGCAAATTTTGTCGTTGGCCAATGGAAATTATCACCTGATCTGCTTAAACCAATTGTCAAAAAAATGTGATTCGATTTTTTAGTGTTGAAATAAACTTTTGTAAGAAATATTAGAAGGATAAACTTCAGTGCTAGTTTCTGAAATAATTAGCCGAGATTTAAACCTTTGTAAAATTGTAAAACATGGCACTCAATAAAAAGGTAATCGTGAGATTTTGAAGGGAAAATTTGGCGAAGGTTTGACTTCAGTGCCAATTTAAAAAAAAAATATTAGTCGCAACTCAAACCTTTCAGGTAGGAAAATAGCAGCGGTAAATTTTTCAAAACAAATAAAAAATAAAATCAGAAATCACAAGATTACCAAATTATGATTTTTTTTCTCTAGTTTAAAAGCATTATTTAGCATAATTTTTTATAATCACTGTTTTTTCTTACCAAAATATTAATATTATAAGAATATAATTTTTTAAATTCCACTAGATCAATTATTACTGTTTTTATTATTTTTGTTAAATGGGAATGGATAAAAAATGGTTAGATGGTGTTTGGAAGTGGTTTTACTATCTAAACATAAAAAATCAATTTTGGAATAAATAAAATAGAAAGTTTTTTGTTGATTTTGGAAAATGGTTGTTTTTTGTGTTGGTTGTGTTGCCCTCGCGCGTCCGTTTGCGGATTTCCGGTCGCGCGCCGCTCAAATGTGATTATCCCCGAAAGTGAATGATGTAGTGTATAATGAAATCTGCAGAAAAATTTTAAGAAACAATTCGTGTTGACCTGTATGTATTTATGTTACGATAATTTAAACCTTGTGCTAGTTAGTTGGTTGAAACTAGGTACAGGTTAGCTGTGAGTTATTTCACAAATTTACATATCTTTCCAGGGTTCAATTGTTGTAAATAATGTGCCAATGATTGCATTTGTTTAATTATTTTTAACGCTAGTTATGTATTAGCTGTGAGATTGGTTGTATGCTCCATTGGAAGTTCACTTATTTCGCGAAGCGACCACTTTTCCGGTTTCTCTGTTTCGTTGCTCTGAAAAATGAGTGAATTTTGAATGATTTTCGGTTAATTTTTGATCTGATTAAGGCACGGTGGTTTCGGCAACCGTTTGCGTACCATTTGACTGTATATTTAGTGCTGTGACTAAAAGAGAAATTCGAGACATTGTCTGATTAGGTTAAAATTTTATTTATTTTCGTTTGTGATACGGTCGAACCAAAGACGTGTGTTTTAAAATTAATTTTTCGAAAAGGTGAAAAAATAAATATTTTTTTAAACGTGCCATTAAAATTAACGTACAAGACATCAAAATGTCGGTTGATTAGTTTCCGGTTATTCAAATTCGTAGTGATTAGCGTAGAAGTAAGTTGACGATATCAATGGTTTGTTGAAAACAAAGCATAAAAATTATTGCATATCTATTCATGCCAACAATTATTGTAATTGTGCGAAATTTAAATTATATGATATATTAATGATGAAGATATAAAATTAAACAGTATTAAAATTTGTACCTAAAGGTAGCAGTTTAGATATTTTATAAAAAATTTTAAAGTTTATCTTTCTAAAATCGATATTTGGTCTGTACAAGAATTATCGTAGATTTTGTTACTGAATGACAATTTGGCGTGAAGTAGACTAGTGTATGTGGTGTTAAATTGTACAATTTAGAAAATGAAAAACACAAAAAAATGCGATAAAGTCAATCGTTTCTTTTCTTTCAAAGTATTTTTCTTGTCTCGAACGGTTGGCTTTACCTAAAACGGTTTAGAATTAATCTGCACTGCCCCAGGATGTCGGTCATTATTTGGTTCCGTTCCCTCATAATATGCAACAAGATGCCTTGACACAGTACAACAAGAAAAACTACAAGCGATGAAAAATTACTGTAATACCTCAATACTCAGACAAAATCCACAGATGTACTTATATTGTATCGTACTAGGCTAAGATAAACATGAATCGTTAGCTTTTAGATCATGCTTTATAAGTTTTCCACTACATTCTACCAATTCTCACACTCTCTCCTCATATCACTTAACAATAAAATATATATCACTTGTTTCACACAATCAGATTATATAGTTTTTTAATAATCAAACGTGAAAATTGATAGAATGTACAACAGCACTGTATATTTTCCCATTTTTTTCTCTTTAATAAGCGTTTGGTTGGAAGGGTAATTCAGTTCTTGTAAATAATGACGATGCTTGTGGGAATTTTTAAGTTAGCCGCTACAAATCATACAGATGCTTCCATGTTAAGTTAGGAACTATTATTTTTATTTAAATTTTATCATTAAGGATAACTTTTGTTATATAAACTTATGAATATATTATGATATGATTGTTGGTGTAATAAAATAATTAAAATTGCAAAATGCGTCTCATTCACCCCCAAATCGACAATGAATTTCGTTAAAAAATCGAAAAAAAGTGTTCAGAAATAATAATAATAATAAAAAGAAAAAATACTTGTCATTATTTAAGATTAGAGAAAGTATAGTAATAAACTCCTGAGAAATGGACATTTACACCCAGATGAAATAGTCCATCCGCCTTTGCTCGTTTTGTAAGTTTTATCCAACTTTTTCAATTATTGAGTAATACCGGGTGCGGCATCGGTTACACCCATTGATAAATCGCGACTTCTAATTAATTAAAACTGGCGATATTTCATAAACCTAACTAATTATTGATAGGGTATAATTTGAGAATTTTTACCTACTTTTTTTTGATATTAAATGAGCCCGTAATAGTTTTGTGTGTTTTATGAATACTTTCTGTTAATTTACCTAAAAAGTTTTTACACTAAATGAATCTATAACTGTTAGCGCATCAAACTTTGATATCACAATTTCAAATTTTGACTTGGTTAGCCAAATAATAGTTTTTTTTTATTTAAATACAAACCACACCTGTGTTTTATGACAAAATGGTATAATTTGCCAACAAAAGAATCATTTAGTGGTAGCCGACCGCTTTAAAGGGTCTTTTTGTTGTAAACCTTAGAATCTTACCTCAATTGCAGTTCCCCATGGCCATCTAAATTTACGATGGCACAAGTAGCAGGTCAAATAAAAATGATTTTCAAAGTTAAGATGGGAAATTGCGTTTAATTCAAAATCTAATTGGTATTTTTTTTCTGATTTTATAAACAATTGTAGGAAGTGAATCTGCGTGTTTCAGTATAAAAATTAGAATTAAACTTTTTGGGAGAAAATTACTTTTTTTTGGCTTTGTTTGTAAATGAAAAATTACCAAAAAATTAGAGAATGTACCTCACCAATGCCCAGGTAAGTGTGAAAAAACTCAACAATTTTCTTTAATTAAAAGTGGGGATTTTCTTTCTGGGCGTAACGGATGCTGCACCCGGTATACTATTTTTTTAAGACAATTAACGTTGGTAAAGAAGAAAACTGCGGTGCTTAGTAAACGAAAATATTTATTCAAAGGGATAAAATTGGAAAAAAGTATTAATTCAATACACACAAACTCAGTTTACACTCTGTGGTGTTTCTTCAAACGGTAGTTAATTAATTTTTTTTGAATTTATATTTTTACTTTGGTAAGGAAGAAAACTGCGGTTGAGTAGGGGGCGTTGTTAGCCGACAATACAGATTCCCATATCGACAAAATGGCGCATTGTCATTGACATATTGTGATTCAGACAAAAACAAGTCATTTTTGTCCCAATTTTGTGCTAACGTGCCGAAATTCGGTGTTTTTTCGCGTTTGCTCGACTTTGTCATCATGTAGGACGTGCGGGAGTTGGTTATATGAACATTTTTTACCACCTTTGATAAGTGCTATTTTGAGGGAAAAATGGAAAGTATTGGCGATTACGAGTACAATACTAAGGACATAATCGGTCATGGGGCCTTTGCTGTTGTTTTTAAAGGTCGAGAGAAGAAGGTGAGTGGTTTGGGTCTCAAATTGGGTTAAAAATGAAACGACGTAAATTTCCAGAATCCGTCGAACACTGTTGCTATAAAATGTATAACTAAGAAGAATATAGCGAAACAGAGCTTATTGGGGAAGGAGATTAAGATTTTGCAGGTTTGTAGCTAATTAGGGCTTTGGGGGCCGTAATTTGGGGTCGGTTTTGTAGGAGCTGACTGAACTGCACCACGAGAATGTTGTGGCCTTGTTTGACTGCAAGGAGTCCCCCAATAATGTCTACTTAGTAATGGAGGTGAGTGTACTATCAAACGATTTATTACAATACTGGCACACTTAAAAAATACATAAATTACGTAATATATTATAAAAAAGTGTTATTACAATAATTCGTTATCACTGGGCGCTTTTTCAGGCGTGGAATTCTCTTTTTTCATGTCCACCATCTCCACTTCTTTCTTTTCACCAATCAACGGTTTMTTTTCAGGCTCGTCAGGTTTTGTCAAATTATTCAAACTTGTCTTGATTGAAGGCCCCCTTTCGACACGTTCCAAATCAGCAGAGCGTTGCTTTCGTTTTTTGATAACATTGTAGCCGTAGGCGAGGCCCCCCACTACGATAACGGCCACGAAAAGGCCGATCAAAATCGTGGTGTCTTTAGAGCCGGCCTTATGGGCCGTTTTGCTAGATTCACCAACTTTTTCCGATTCGTCTAAAAATTGATTTATTTATTATGAAATAAAATTGAGTGGTTCACCTACCTGATTGCTGATCGGTCGCTTGTTCCATTTTGTTACCACCTATCAAGGTTTTACCTTTAATTATTTCGGCGTCTTTTTTCGGTGACCATTTGTCGCTGTTTTCCTGCCTTTCCGGTTGCTCTTTTGGTTTTTCGGTTGTGGTTATTTCACTTGGAACTTGCTCCGAAGGTTCCTCAGGTGTGACAATTTCCGGTTTTTCCGGAACCTCGGTGGTTTCCGGAAGTGGTGTTGTATTTTCCTCTTCTTTTACTTCTTCGTTTTTTTCTTTCTCCGGTGGTGTRGTAGTATTGTTACTGTTTTCCGAAAGTGGTTTTTCAGCTTCTTCGTCTTTCTTTTCTTCCGGTGGTAGTGTAGTATTTTCATTTTTTTCAGGTGTTACAGTTTCTTCGCTGACTTTATTTTTTTCAGTTGTTACATTTTCCGAATTTTCCGAATCGCCTGACCCTTCCACTTCATCCCCAACTGCCGATCGTTTAAAAATTCGTTCAGTCTTTTCGGGTTCATCATTTTTGAAATTTTTGCAGTCAATTATAACGTCTTCTTGTTTGAGATAAACATAGTTTTTGGAATTTTTGCAAATTTCTTCTAATGTTGATTCTGATACTTTGTCGAAGACAACAACATTGGCGTCATCGGGTTCTCCTTCCCAATTCTCGAAATTTTCATTATCAACTGTTTCCTATGTTAAGGTGTGGAGAAAAAATTGTTATCTCTTGCAGCTCAAATATTTATTCACCACGGTAAAATAGATTATTTGTTTTGTAATTAATACTTACGTAGTTTGATAAAGGCTTCAGATCTGTCTCTTCCCGGATTAGAGAATTACTGTAAGAAAATTGTAAAATTGATATCGGTGTTATGTTATCATCGGTAAATGAGAATTGATGTTATCAGATTGCGATCGAAGTCTGTTTTTAACAATTTTTTGCAATTATTTTTGGCTCAGTTTTGACATTGGGGTCAAAAGTTTATAATAAATGTGATTTACAAAGAGAAAAATTTGTTATTGCAAATGAGAAAATTTTAAACTGTAATTTCGATACTACTTACCAATTGTGAGCAAAAATTACTGAAAAAACTATCGTTAAAACATTCATGTTTCGATTTTTTTTCACCGTTTTTTAAACCATGTGATACCAACCACTAATAAGCAGGATGAATGATTTGTGAAGTTAAAGTTAGCTCGAAAAAGATAAGATAAGATATCGGCTCTATTTACTTTGATTTCTCAATTTACGGTTACCCCAAGCACCTATAAATTTTATTACTAATAATGTGAATCATAGGGTTTTTTTAAATTTTTCCCAAAATTTTTGATTTATTGGAATTGAAAAATTCGTAAAAGTGATTTTTTTTCGTCCTTCGAAATGTATTGTTTTCTTGTATTTACTAACGGGTTTTAAGCATATTTATAGCGGTATTGTGGATTATAAAAATGTTTTTACTGCAAACACCGTATTTAAATATGTACTATTTTTAGAAGTGTAAGTAACGGTTTTTGTCTAGTCATTTTTTCAGCGACGATAGTTTTTTTTTTGCAGAAATAAAATATTGATGTTTTTATTGACATCCCCAAACTAATAAAATTTTTTCTTCCCTCAAAAACTTCTTTGGTTGAAGTTGAATTTAGTGTTAGACAAGGTGATATGTGTAACGGAAGAACAACATTTTTTTTCTTTCTTTGTTACACAAATAATTATTTTGTAATATCAAAAAAAGAAAGTTAGTAAATTATGAGAGAAGTTTGAGTATTTTTTTTTCGAAAAGGAAGACAATTTTTTCTTTCCGCAAAACTTCTTTGCCTCAATTTGTCTTTAGTGTTAGAAAAAATGATGTGTAAGCTCGCCTTTGGCTCGTAAAATAAGCAATAGGCATGAAAAAATAACTTTCGTTCCTTGCTTTACAAATAACTATCCGTTGGATTCTTTGTTAATAAAGAAATTATCATTTTTTTTATATACAGGACGATCTTAAAAAAACGGCAGGCACTAGAATTTTTATTTATGGCCCGATTTCAAATATTACAAAAAATTGAAAAATATTATTTTTTTTTTATTTCACTTTTACTAGAAATTAAATATTTAAAAAAATTATCAAAGTTAAAAAAAAATAAAATCTAGTTGCATGGTGTCAAATAAGACAATACCATTATTGTTATGTCAAAAATCAGCAAATGAAAGAAAAAATGTCTTGCCAATATTTTTTTAAATTTTTATTAAGAAATGACAATAATACTCACCTGTAACAAAGAAAAACTTCTAATTTAGTGTGATTAATTTATTTTATTACTTATTTATGTATTTTGTTTACTTTTAACAAAATTGTTAACATCAATTTTTCATTGACAACGTGCAACTAGTTTTTATTAACTTTTTTTTTCTTCTTATTTTCTTACTTTTCGTACTTTGATAATATTTTTAAATAATTTTTAGTAAAAGAGAACGTTAGGTAGGGTATGTGTGTACCAGAAAAACTAATTATGAAAAAAAAATTTAGTCCTTATTTAAAATTAGAAAGTTGAATATAGCCCAAAATTTACTGACATTTATAAAAATTAAAAAAAATTCGGCTTATACTAAATTAAAAGCCAATTAATTAATTTTTTTAATTTTCCAAATCGAGCCATAAATAAAAATTCTACAGTTTTTAAAAATCACCTTGTATTTTCTTCATATTGAGGCCTCGATTTTAGTTGTTTTTATTTTTTTTTTTTTCGTACTTTTTATCTATAGGGCAGCCATTTTTCTTCTGCTAGTTATTTTTAAAATAAAAACAAAACCAGACTGTGTTTTCTTGTTTATTCTAGATGAACACAATATGATTATGATACATTTCTTATGATTTTTTTAGTATTGTAAGGGGGGCGACTTGGCCGACTACCTCGCCGCCAAAGGCACCCTCAGCGAGGACACAATCCGCCTGTTTCTAATCCAATTAGGTAAGTTTCAATTTCTCCTCAAAAACAAATTAATTGAGTCATTTCAAAGCTGGCGCGATGAAAGCCCTCTCGGCTAAAGGCATCGTCCATCGCGACCTCAAACCTCAAAATATCCTCATCACTTACGACGTACCCAATCCTCAACCGTCGCAAATTAAACTAAAAATCGGTAAGTGTGGTCCCAAAAACGCCCAATTTTGCTAATAAAAGTATCACAGCCGACTTTGGCTTCGCCCGGTTTCTCCAAGAAGGCGTTATGGCGGCCACATTATGTGGCAGCCCCATGTATATGGCCCCCGAAGTGATCCTAGCCCTGCAATATGACGCCAAAGCCGATCTTTGGAGTCTCGGAACGATTGTTTTTCAGTGTTTGACCGGCAAAGCACCATTTCAGGCGAATACACCGCAAGCACTGAAACAAATTTATGACACTACTATGAATCTAGTACCCAAGTGAGTGCGATTTTAGATTTTCAGGGYCCCAAATGTATGGGATTTTTCAGGATCCCGCATGGGACTAGTCCGGAATTGACCGATCTTTTGCTCGGTTTGCTGAAACGCAACGCTAAAGAAAGGATAAATTTCGATCAGTTTTTTAATCATAAGTTTTTGAAGAGGGCTGAGACACCCAAAACGAGTCCACTACAAAATGGTATTTAGAAAAAATTTGTGAAATTTGTTTCAATTGTGATTTGTAGATATGCCGTTACCGATCGGGACTCCCCCGAGTGTCACAACGGTACCATCAAGTAGTCCTCGACCAGTCCGAGGCAACTCGATTTCGCACCCCGATCCGCCAGGTACGTACCAATCACCTGCATTTGTTTCCATTTCATTGCTTTCTATTAACAATCATACGCATCATTCCTTGTAGAATCTCCAAGATCTACAAGAACGGCTCTTAGTTCGAGTCCTGAAGATGATTATGTTATAGTTTCGAGAAACATCCCGGACCAGTCAACTGAAAGCGTCGATTTGGAGAAACAGTGAGTATTTTTAGAGATTATCTCAAAATTAGATAATTAATCGTATGTTAGGTTCAAGATGACAACGGTGAAATCGCCACCTGCACCCTGCGTCCCGGTGGCTAGCCCCCTTAGGCCCTCATTTCTCCCCGTCTCTGAACCTCTCCCCGTCCCCACCATGAAGGAAGTCTACAAGGAGATGACGAGTCAAACCGAAAAAAAAGACGATCATAGTCCAACCAAACCGATTGTTAATAGTAACGTCCCTCGTTCGCAACCGATTAGCATGAAACGGTCCGAAAATCGTCCAATACACAACGATATTGATATCAGTTCGTTATCACCGCCGTCGGTTAAATTCGTTATTGGTACACCACCAGGTGGACGACGACGTTCCACTTCCGGCGGAAGTCTCTGCGAGACGCCTCCACCGACGAATTTCTGGACACCGTCACCGGTGGCCAAAACAGCGCCGGTGAATTCGCCCTTAAGACGGTCAGGAGGTTAGTTKAAAAAAAAACAAGTAGGCGATGAAGGGGGTTAATGATGGCGTTTGTAGGTACTTCACCGCCGATGCAGAGTGGACCGTTGGCACGAATGCCGATTTTGAGTAGTCCGAATTTAAATAATGAAAATAATAATCCAAATAGGTCACCAAATATGCCCTATTGTACAAGGGCGGTGACTCTACCCGAAATATCCGAAATTCGGAATTATGCAATTTTTAATGACAGCTATGAGCATCCGATTACGTTCTTGGCGCCGGAGTTGCCCGAAGAGACGCTCCTTGAGGTTGGTATTATTTAAAATGACTTTTTTTTTAAAGTTTAACAGTGTTTTTGAACAAAAACTTCGATTAAAAGTTTGCATCCAGTAGGTTGTGCACTAGTTTAAAATTATAGGAAGCTTTTAAAAAGGTTGTCTGTTTTTTTGGCTTTATACCGGTCGTTTACTTGTACAAGTAGTTTTTCATTTTTGCTTAATAAATTATAATTTAACGTCAATATTTTGATAATATAGAGTAAAAATTACAGTGAAAAGACAAAAAAATTTCGAAAGAGTTTATTAATTTAACTAGTGGATGACTAGTGCAGTTAGTAGTGCAAAATGTCGAAAGCCAATGCAATGAGACTACATTGGTAAAAGTCAAGGTAAAAGTAAAAACGCTTAAGGGCAAAAATAGAATTTTTACTCTATGGCTGAAAGGTAAAACTTTTACTTGTCACCTTTAGGAATCAAAGTGGTTATTTTGGTGACATTTGCGAATAATTTAATTAAACTTTCTAAGAAATGTCGTTTATTTTTAATAAGCATTGAAGTACTTATTTTGTTATTTTGTTAATTAAGGCATTCACTATAACATTATTAGGTGCCGGTTTACAAAAAATTAAACAACTTATTAATCGTAATTAGTTTTTTGCTAAAAATTTAGAACAGCGTTTAAAACTGCAAAATCAGAACATATTTTAGAAAATTTGTAGATTTTTTCTCTATTAAGATATAAAGATAATAAACGTGTAATATACAGGGCGCTCAAAAGGTGCCGCACTAACTCAATGAAAGCTGGTAAATGGAGAATAAATAAAGATAAAAATAATGAAAAAGATTATCCATTAAAGTTATTGGTGCAAAAAGGAAAAATGACGTGGCAACATTGTCTAATGGCATTGCAATTATTGATCAACAGTAAAAATTAATTATTTTTGAAACCTCAGTAATACAGAGTGGTTATAAATGATTTTCATGTAGCCAGCTTTGGAWTTTTTTTGCATGTAACTTTATTTGTGCCGCTCTACTTTTTTGAAAGCTCTAGTTCTGTCATTAGTGTCACTTATTAATTAATAATATTATGTATTCACAAAACTCCCGTGACGTTTACAATATCAAACCAAAATTTTTGAGTGTATCTGAAACGACACAGATTACRATTATTTCATCTGACTGTACTTGATGTCAAGTTTCCATGGTACCCGTCACATGCGCRAATGATAATAATTAAATCATTTCAAATCAAGTGATAGCGACCAGGTTGTTAAACTTTCAGTGAAGTTGTCACCAACATAGCCATAGTGACTTTTTGTTTAACTAACTTAACGTCATTTTGACATATCGGGAGTTTAGTGAATATATTGATATTACTTAACCTTTTATTTTTTCAAGTAATTTCCAATAATAATTGATAATAATGTATACTTTGAAAGAAAACAAGTTTATAATTGAAGTCTATTTTCGAWGTGGACGCTTAGTAAACGGCGATTTTTTTAATTTTGAGTTAAAACAAGTAGGTACCCCTATTTCGTAAAGCGGCATTTTTTATTTTACATGGAAAACTCACAGCTGGCTAGATGACAATCATTTACAACCACTTTGTATTAAACATTGTTGTTACTATGCCGAGAACTAAAATTAATAGACAGGGTTGTCATATTTGCAAACACTAATTTTTCACTAAGTAAATTTTTTTTTAAATATTCAAATTTGTACTAGATACTGTATTAGTGACATATGAAACGATTATTTTTTCACTTAAACTTGAGAAACTAATGTGAATTTAATAATTTTGTAGCTTCAGCTATTGTAAAATATGACTTCAAGAATTTTTTCAAAACTTTTCTTGTAATTTCGTATGCTTCTCAACAACGTACCACCAAGTTAGTGCGCCATTTTTTGAACTCCCTGTATACATTTTAAAATTTTAGTTTAATTAGGAAATGGTGTTTTGAGGAGTGCAAATAAAACTTGATGCATTTGATATAAAAAAATGAGAAGTACTTTCAGTTGGCCATGAATATCGTTTTGCAACTTTGATAATTTAATTTTTTATCAGTTTTGACACTCAATAATGTTTGACAGTCGCTTATTTTTAATCTAAAAGTAACCTTCAGTTTTACCAAATATTTAAAAATGCGAAACTTGAGTTTACACAATTTTCAATCCTAAATTGACATTGAAACAGATAGATTAGATAATTTCAACGCCAACTTTATTTATTCCGCTTATGTCTTGTGTTTTTTCTTTTAAATGAACTAAACACTAAAATATTTAAACGGTTGCGTGCAACGATGATATAAACGATGTATTCAATATAACAAGAAAGCTTAATATATTATTAACAAAAAATGATACTATTATTATTCTTTTTGTCCAACAGGGAATAAAATGAATGAAATACCGATTTTTACTCTTAAAACTGCAATTGAATGAACATGTTTTGACAAAAATTTGACAAATTTTATGTTTTTATTAATTTAATCTGTTGGGAGGAAAGTTTTGTATGCATCTCTGGATAAACATAGTCTTTTTGACGAAGAAAATGCCCTCGACTCCTTTCGGTCACCTCTGGCATTATTGATTATTTTTATTTATAATTTTTTTTTGTTGTAGAAGGAACACAACGAAACCTTGGCGAAAATCAACTTCGTGTTGGCCGTTTGCAACTGCATCCTGGATTTGGCGGCGGTCCGTTCGACACCCATCGGTGCCCTTCACGACTCCGTTCAACTCCAATCCCAAATCCAAAACGAACTGATGAAAAGAGCCGAACGTTTTGTCCTTTTAGTCCGGGCTTTACAATTGTTAGGTTCTGGTCTGTCTTTGGCGACCAACCAAATGAAATCCGGTCAATTACGACCAAGTTCCAAAGTAAAAAACGGTGAGTTTTTCTCATCTATTGTCGACTCGAATCCCTGATTGATCTTCTTCCAGTTATGTCGAGTCTCAATAGCAGATTCAGGTCGACATTGGCCGAATGCAAACAATTGAATAGTCCTGAAGTTATGGCCAAAGTTGCTGATATCACAGCCGATAAACTACTCTACGATCATGCCGTGCAAATTGTAAGTTGGCCGTGAACAACTGTCAGATTTAATCACGTGATTTTTAGTGTCAAGCAGCCGCCTTGGATGAGTTGTTTGACAATCCGCAACAGTGTTTTGAGAGGTACCAAACGGCGCAAATTCTCTTGCATAGCTTGTCGCAACAAGTACCGCAACAAGATCGCGCATTGCTAATTAAATGTGAGTGAGAATTGCAATTAATTAGCGATTTTAATTGTTTTTTTTTTAGATAAGGAAGCCGTAGAAAAACGCCTGTTTGTGCTCCAACAGCGAGGTTACATATATTCGACGGATCTCAGTCAAATAAATTAATTCAAGTAATTATACCTAGTGTTTAAGCGTTTTCACCACTATGTCTAATCATATCGCTTGATCTAGTTGCTGTCGTTGTAATGACAGTTAGTTGAGTCGGGGTGTGCCGCGTGCAATTTCATTGGATAATAAAATCCAAACAAATGAAGCGTTACGTCGATTTTCCTTCTTCGTTGCATAAGACGAGTCCTCCGTGATTTATGATTTGTGTTTTAATTGTATACAAAGTAATTAAATAAAAGTAATTTATTTGTGGATGCGGTAATAAATGGCCCCACCTAGACCCATCCCTGTCCTATTTACGGGGATATCTCTCACAGAGTGACACATTAGGCGTATTAAAAGCACGCGAGAGGTCCATTTGATGTTAATGCATGCATGGCATGCAGTTTTTTTCTCAGATGCACTGCGGATAATTCGGAGAGAGTGGATCTGTCAACAAAATTTCAGGGTGAAAGTGGAGATTTGCGTGAACCGAGCTGTTGTATCGAAAATTTTAGGTAAACAGAAAGGGGGACAACAGTGTTATTTTCAAAGCGGAATCGATAAAGTAAAGAAAAGAATTTTATTTGATAAGCGATGTTTGGAGTTATGCGTGCGTGGAATGAAATTGCCACCCCCTAGAACAAACAAAAGGTTTGATTCATAAAGAGTGTCAACTGTCATTTAAAATTGAACCGTTAAAAATTGAAATATTGTTATGCCTTTTTTACTATGGATGTGAATTATCGATCGAGACTTTAAAATTACGCTAAACAAAGAACTTCAATTACGTTGATTAAATCTCGGTAAAAACTCAAGGCCGTTTCATGCAAAATTAGCAAAATCTAGTAGTCTTGGGCCGGGTTTTGCTAATTGGCATTGACAATTATGTAAATATGAAATACGATTGTTTTTACAATATTAAAAAGTACCAGTTTTGAATGTTGATAAAAATTGTATCCCCAATTGGCCAGTAAAAATGGAAGTCTTATTTGAGCGCATACAAGATGACTTAATTTTTATTTTGTAACTTTTTTTACAATCTTAAAAAAATCAGTCTTGATCTCTGATAAAAAAAATTATAACCACAATTGGTCAGTAAAAGTGGAAGTCGGATTTAAACACATACATCTCAGAACTCGCGGCTGTAAAAAATCCATGTAAAATAAGATATCAGGAACATGGAAAAAAATCAATGTGAGAAATTTTGACATTTTTTTTAAAATTTGACTTTTATGTCTATTTATTGTTACCAATTTCATAATTATTCAGTAAACGTACAAAAACTTTGGTAATAAAAACCACAAATAACGTTAAACATAGTTACACTTCAGGATACAGCTTTTTTGTTTCCTCTTATAATAGCTTGCAGCAAAAAACATTAAGTGTTTTTTTCAACAAAAATTAGTTGGGTCAATGTGCAAAATTTAAACTCCCATAATCTCCAAATTTTTATAGATAGAATTTTTTCAAACATTTTTTTCAATTTTCGGATTTCCTAACTTATTTGACATTTTTCTTTGGGACGCGAGTTTTGGAACAGCCCTGTATAATACATTTATTTTAGTTTTAGACCAGAGTGGGCTATTTTATTATCGTTCGGTCACAGTCTTACCATACAACTTGCTAAATTTCCATAGCCTACTCTGTCCTAAAACAAAAATGAATTATACAGGGTGTGTCAGAAGATAAGATACCAGGAACAAGAAAAAAACGTTAAAGAAATTCTATCCGTCAATAATTTTTGACATTTATTTTTTGACATTTTACATTTTTATGTTTATTTAATAATTATGATGATCTTGCAATGTTTTTTTTTATAATTATCTAGTAAAAGTACAAAAAGTTTGCGGATAAAAGCAACAAATAACATTAGACAGAGTTACAATTTAGGATTCAGCTCTTTCCTCTTCTAATAGCCTATAGAAAAAAACTTGGAAAATTATTTTTCCAACAAAAATAAATACAGTCAAAGTGAAAATTTAAATTCTCATAACTTCGAAATTTTTATTTTTTTGTATTTTTTTGGGGGCGCGAGTTCTCGCGCAGCCTGTATATACAAGGTGACAATTATGTAGAGGTCATAGACCACAGACAAATTGATCACAAATTTGATAATTTTTAATGTTATTTTAGTTTTTAATTTTTATTAAAATATAAATAGTTTTGATTTCTGATAAAAAAATTGTAACCCCAATCAATTTTTATGCGCACCCTCCAAAACACCTCTTTATAATTAAATCAAAATTGTAGAGAAAGTCTTATGACAACACTGGTGGCTTTGATATTGTTTTTTAATTTGACATGAGTTTTTAAATTTTGGAGCTCTGTTATAGAATAATTGTTAGGATGAGTTAAAGGTCAACCGATTTATTTACGTTTTAATATTTTATAAACTGTTTTTTTTTAATTACATAATAGTCGCATCCTGGTTGGCGTGATAGCTATCAGCTATACAAGAAGTATTAAAATAAATCACGAAATTAAAATTAAATTGGTTAAAATATGAATTAGTCGTGAATAAAAAATAATGTCTGAAAATCCTTGAAGAGATGACACACTGAAAGGTTAATCCGGGAGAAATGATAAAAATATTACTAACCTTTCAAATGTTTTTTAGGCCGCGGTTGTCACAGGTCAAATTTAAAACACTTATTTAACATTTCATTGTTTTCGTCGTTTTTTACTACTTTTTTTTTGTGAATTATTATTTCACTCAAATCAACGTTTATTAATTTTTATCGAAATACCAGGAGAGTTGGTATGATTTTTTCTACAATTTTAGTTTAATTACGGTTTTGCGTGGTGCAGATAAAAATTGATATACAGAGTGTGTCAGAACTCGCGCCCCAAAGAAAAATTTCAGGTAAGTTAAGATACCAGGAATATGGAAAAAATGTTTAAAAAATTCTATCTATCAAATTTTTTTGACATTTGACATTTTTTAGGTTTATATACAGGGTGCGCCAGAACTCGCGCCCCAGAGAAAATTTTCAAGTAAGGTAAGATACCAGGAACAAAATTTTGACATTTATTTTTTGACATTTGACATTTTTTTTTATATCTATTTACGGATACTGATGATCTTGTATATGTTTTTTTTTTACAATTATTTAGTAAAGTGACAAAAATTTTGCCAATAAAAGCCACAAATAACATCGAACAGAGTTACAATTTAGGATACAACTTCCTTGTTTCCTCTTTTAATAGCCTATAGCAAAAAAACTTGGAAAATTATTTTTCCAACAGAAATAAATAGAGGCAAAGTGCAAACTTTAAAACCTCATAACTTCAAAATTTTTATAGATAGAATTTTTTTAACATTTTTTCCAGGTTCCTGGTATGTTACCTTATATGGCATTTTTCTCTGGGGCGCGAGTTCTGGCGCATCCTGTATGAATACTGAGGATTTTGCATATGTTTTATTATAATTATTTAGTAAAGGTACAAAAATTTTGTCAATAAAAGCCCCAAATAACACTAAACAGAATTACAACTAGTCAGTGTGGTTAAGAGTTTCATTTTTATTTATTAAAGTGTCTTTTAGATTGTAAAAAATAATGTTTGGGTCACTTCGAGTAGCTTCAGGTCGATTCACTTTAGGCCACTTCGGGTTACTTCGTATTACTTTGGTTTGAAGTAAAAAGAAAGTGTTAAATGTACTGACTTTTTGGTTTTCAAAAGAAGAAAAATTCTTAAGGAAATGTTTAAATTTAGTAGTAAAAATGTCAATTGAGACGTTTCAAAACATCGTGCTACAAAAGACAGTTGGGGAGACTAAGAAAGTGTCAGATGTCCCGGATTAAAAAATTTCTAGACTTGCAAAAAACATTTAAAATTTCTTAAAGAAATGCTTACATTAAAAAAAAAGTCATTCGAGACGTTCCAAAATATCGTGCTACAAAAGACAGTTGGGGAGACTAAGAAAGTGTCWAATGTACTGGATTAAAAAATTTCTAGACTTGCAAAAAACATTTAAAAATTTCTTAAAGAAATGCTTAAATTAAAAAAAAATGTCATTCGAGACGTTTCAAAACATTGTGCTACAAAAGACACTTGTAGTCCGGTCAAAATAGACATTTCAAATAACAAAAATTCCGACAGAGCTAAATTTTGGTGGAGACCTTGGGTACACCATTAGAAATAAAGTGTCAAAAGTCCCCATCGATCCCATGTGTGCTAAAAAAGTTATTCGGGGTCAAAGGTCAAAATTTGAGGTTTTATGGATTTCCTTTGAAAATGGTAAGTTTTATCAAAAAAGTAGTCKAGACAAAAAAGATAGARCTTAAAATTATRTACAAAAAAGCTTTATACTTTTTTTTCTAAGAATCACCATTGCTGAGATATCGCGATTTTAAAAGTTGAAGGAGTCACTTTCTATATGATATGCACATACAGAGTGCGCCAGAACTCGCTCTCCCAAAAAAAATGCTATGTAGGGTAAGGTACCAGGAACATGGAAAAAATTAAAAAAAAATTCTATCTATAAAAATTTCGAAGTTATGAGAGTTTAAATTTTACACTTTGCCTTTATTTCTTTCTGTTGGAAAAACAATTTTCCAAGTTTTTTTGCTACAGGCTATTAGAAGAGGAATCAAGGAAGCTGTATCCTAAATTGTAACTCTGTTCAATGTTATTTGTGGCTTTCATTGAAAAAAATTTTGTACATTTAGTAAATAATTATAAAAAAACATATACAAGATCATCAGTATCATTAAATAGACATAAAAAAATGTCAAATGTCAAAAGATAAATGTCAAAATTTTTTGACAGATAGAATTTTTTCAACATTTTTTTAGTACTCTGGAGACTACCCAATTACTCCCTTTCAAGGAAATGCGCGATTTTTTGGACACCTGTATGTATTACCAAATAAATTCTTTTTAATTCTATTGGAATCGAGATATTTATAAGTTTAATGAAGTAGAAGAAAAATTTCAAGTAAGATAAGATACCAGAAACATGGAAAAAATGTTTGAAAAATTCTATCTGTCAAAAAATTTTTACATTTATTTTTTGACATTTGACATTTTTTTATGTCTATTTAATGATACTGATGATCTTGTATATGTTTTTTTATAATTATTTACTAAATCTACAAAAACTTTGTCAATGAAAGCCACAAATAACATTGAAAGAGTTACAATTTAGGATACAGCTTCCTTGATTTCTCTTCTAATAGCCTGTAGCAAAAAAACTTGGAAAATTGTTTTTCCAACAGAAAGAAATAAAGGCAAAGTTTAAAATTTAAACTCTCATAACTTCGAAATTTT